TGTCTACACACATCACCAACAACCTCACAGTTCTCAACACTTTGAAGAGCCACTTCTTTTCTCTTCTTGGAGTCACTTTCATCCATGTCAAGCTCCATCTCATAAGCGATGAGTTTCCCAACCAATTTTCCTAGCTTGATCTCGTTTAGGTCCTGAAACTCTTGAATGGCAACCTTTTTTGCATGATCTCTTGGGCAAACATCTCAAAATCTTTGAACAACGGTTGTTTCATCAATAGGCTTCCCTAACCCCAAGGTTTCATTTGTTAACATTTCAACTTTATCGTAAAAGATCGAGAAAAATCTCAGACTCGAGCATTCTCAAATCCATAAATCTTGAAAGGGTCATCTGGAGCTTTAGATCTCTCACTAGCTTGTCACCTTCATGAAGTATTCTGAGCTTGTAATGAACATAAACAAACTGATTAGACGAAATGGTAGAAACAATAGCATTTCTTGCTTTCCTATTTGCCATGGTAGAAGTAATTTCTCCTTTATTTCATTCACCTTTGTGCTTAACCACAGATTCATCATTAACATTTCTTGATGGTGCCCTCCATTCCGGGGTAAGATCGTCAACTGCAACTAAGTCTTGAGCTTTTAAAAAGATTTGAAACTTTTCACTACATGCAACATAACTAGTTCCATCAAAGTATAGAGGAGAATTGCAAGAAACAAAAGCATGTTCACGATCCATGATGCGATTCCACCTAATATCAGTCTCTCATATATCACTCTATGTATATTTAGAGCAATGCTCTGACAACAACTAAAATTGGTACCAGGCAGAATATCCTGTAATTTAAAATTTGATATGCTTGACTGACTAGTCAACGTAACGAGTCGACTAAGATCATATTTGTTAGTTTACCAACACCAAACATAAACAATTATACCTGATTTACTAATGTAACCCTAGTTAACAAAGATTCTGTTCAGTGCACATTTAAACTTTGTAAAACTTAGTTGAAAACACATATCTATTTGCTAACCCTAGAGTCAATGAGTTACATGCAAATCAACAAGATATGTGAACAAGAATAACAATAATCAACAGAAAGAATTTTTGGCCAAAAAAACCCACATCTGAATTAAAAAACTGGAGACACACCATTAAGTCCAATCCACTAGTATAAACAAGGTTTATACAAAGACCACATAAGCTCAATTTATAGATCCCTATCTACGGAGCACCTTTACCTTTGTGCAACCTTACCTTACACGAGATGAACTCCTTCAGTCTTCATGAAGTGGTAACTCCTCCTGAGCTCTTCACTTTGTGGCACCAAGAGCCAACATAACCAATGCAGATGATATGACAATGATGGTTATGTGAAATCTGGATTCCATGACCAGTTAGTTTCTCCAGTCAAACATTTGAAGGAAGAAACTGATGAGAATCCTAAAAACATGACTATATAAGGATTTGAAACATAATGCAAGACCATGAAAATAGTGCAAACTTACTTCATAATGATTGGTGTTTAATGAATGAAGAAGATTTGGCAGTTAGGGTTTCATAAATAGAGAAAAGGCAAGCTTAAATCCACAAGAGGAATTTTATGCGGAAGTGCCTTAGCCAAGCTAGCTAAGTGTAGTCCGATCAGAAACACTCAAGTCTGACACATAGGTTCTGACAATAAGAGTCTAAAGATGTTTCCAACTCACATGCAAGCAACCAAGTCCCTAACGAACTTTCATTTAAGATTCACTAGGGATGGATGTACAATTCAGATTGAGAATGAAGCCTCTTCTAAGTTACACATTCTCTATTAAAACTCTTTGTCCTAAAATGGGGCTAAGGTGAAAGAACAAACGGAATCAACAAACAAGACGACTCAAACACGTCAGATTGACATTAAAATCTGGTCATTCCAAGTATGATTCAACACTTTCTCATCCTTAATCTGATTATTGCATTACTACAAGTGTAGGGTAAAAGGTTTCTTAAGGGTTTTAGACCCAGTGACGGAGTAAGGTGATACTCCAATTATCGTAGTGAAAATCTTTATAAATACTAAATTTGAGCTGTGACTTTTTTCGAATCAACGATACTTATTTGGGGGGGGGGGGCTTCAAGCTTTGTCGCAATCTACAGGCTTGCTCGTGTTTCAACTCAGTATTCTTTACTTTGAAGTTAGCTTACTTTGGAAAGATTGACGAATTAAACTATAGTCCGCGATTAAGAAGCAAATAAAAAAAAGTTCCAAGTATTGTACTCTAACATGCTTAATGACTTGAGTAAAATAAACTTAGTAAAATATTTCCTAAGGCATCTAAGTCCTTCCATAAATATATACGAACATTTTGCCTCGCATCCAACTCTTCAGCTATGCATCAAGAACTCCGATCAAGGGTATACAATATGGTTCGAAACTCCAAAAGACTGAATCTTTGAAAGACAAACATGCAAAACTAGTCGGACTTGGTTAGCTCCGAATTACGCAAGTCCTTCGAAGGCCATTTTGGAAAAGTTATCCTGAGATGATTTACATGTGGTTCGTTGGTAATTATCCATCTTTGAAGCGAAGCGCACTCTTTGAAGTATAGTTAGGGGCAAATATGGGACTATGATTTTCTGGGACCGTGATTTTCTGGGCCCAGGACACGAGGCAAGAAGAATTAGAATACTCATGGTTCTTGAAGCACAGTTGGGCAAGCTAGGCTTAGGCCTATTTAAAAATTACTTGCCTCCCAAGTAAAGAAACCTTAATTCAAGTCAAATTAGGATATTTAGGGATTAGGCAACATAATCATGATCCTAAGAGGATTGGGTACCTTATCCTAGATTTCCTCCTAAATAGTCTCTCTATTTGATGAGGATTATTTTCCCTACAAAGGCTCTCAATATCTCTCTCTCTCTCAGACTTCTTTCTAAGTCTAATATTCTCTACAATACACATATGCCAAACAGAGGTCCCTACACTGCCGTCTACACATAGACACATCCATGGAGAACTCATCTCTTTAACTACCCGCCATAGGCTATTCATCAAGGATGATTCACACCATTTTTATTAGAACAATACCCGTGGTTTGATTCTCCTTCCCAGATATATGTAGGCAGTCATATTCAGATTCAACCACACCCCAGAATCAATCCCATTCTCCTCTCATTAGAGATCATGGGCTTGTCCGACAGGATTTCGCCTCCGTCCACGGATGTTCATGAATTTAGTTCCAACATATATGATATCTTTACGACCTTTTTTTTTAAAAGAAAAAATCGATTAAAATAAATTTTCAAATTTTATAATTGGTGCATTAAGGGGATAAACACAATAAAATAATTTAAAATTTAATTGACAACACATTTTCTCATATGTCAAATTTGACAGCAAAAAATTCATATGTTAATCCACGGGTTGGCATATTGGTTGCAACTTCTTCCTACGTTCAAATTTGATTGCGCGCCATTCACTTAGGATTTGATATCTCCTTTGAAGATGGTCTTAAAATTTTTGATTAAAGTCATATGACTTATTTCCACATTAGCATTTTATTATAAATAAGAATTTAATTGAATGTTTAACTCCTTTATTTCAAATAACTAATTATTATCCTAATTAATTACCTTTTCAATACAACTAAATTCTTAAATCTTTTGTTCATTTTTTTAATCAACCAAAAAACTTATAAATTAATAACTGGGAAAAATATATTTATATTGCGTATCCATATATAAGTGGGCACAATATTTCTCTATTCATGTTATGTACCTATGTTTATAAGTGGTTATAATATTTTATGTTTATATTATGTACCCATATTACTTAGCCATATGTTTTTTTTTTCTGTCATAGAATGTATCCGTATGCTAGTAAATATTGTACCCACTTATAGACATAGGTACATAACATGAACCCACGTGAGGTTTACTTATATGTTTTTTTTTTTTTTTCTGTCATATAATAAACCTCATAGATATCCATGTACGGTTTAATTCTTTGAAGATGTACCCATGTTACTTGGTACATTTTTTTTTGTTTAGAGAATGTACCCATGTTTTTTTATTTGAAGAATACCAATGTTTTGTGGTACATTATTTTTTCGTTGATTTGATGAATGTATTCATAGTTTTTTTTTTTTTTAACAAACAATATTATCTACAATAATGGGGTAAGAAGTGGGCTAAGCATCACAATATGCCAATATAATAATGTGATTCAAATTTGCCTTTAGCAAAATCGAATCGAAGACCTTGCACTTACAAGTGAAGAAGAATATCATTAGACTATAGTTATATATATGTATACACTAATTTTACACGTACATACTTTTTTTATGACAAACCATAATTTTGTATTGATTTTTAAATTTTCGACCGGCGTTCTAGCCGATTGGTTAATTGCGCTAGCATTATTCCTCAAGGTTCTCGTTTTAAGGCTGATATTGATGATGGTGAAGATTAGGATGATGAGGATTTTTAAGAGTTTAATCTATCTTTAATATTTTCAATCTGAAATTATGAGTTTCTTTATTTCTAAATATAGGTAATTGGAATTATAAAATTAAAAATTAAAAAGTATCATACATTAATCCTAATTTGCTGAGGTGTATATAAATCCAGACTTTGATCAAAAGATAAAAACCAATAAGGCTTCAATTAAAAAACATTGAAAACTCGTATCCAAATATGCCTTTAATTAATTTTATAATATACTAGGATGTTTATTATTTTTAAAATACAAGTCCATGATTAATATAGAAATTGTAAATAAAATGTATTCAAAACTTAAAACAAAAAAACAAAAAAGTTTAGTAAATAACTGTACAAAATTATAATATTTCAATTATTTTATCAAAATAAGTTCAAATTGAAAATTAAGAACTTAAAAAAATTCAAAATTCAATATATACTAAAACCCAAAACAAAGTGTTTCACTATTCATAATCACAGTGTGCTTCCTGTTTTGCCCCTGCCAAATTTGTGTTATTACTTCTCCTGCCACTGTCTCAGAAAAAATATATATATTTTTTCTTTCTTCCTTCTCTCTTCCCTCTACCTGTTCTTCGACTCACCTTCAAACAAAAAACCCAAAATTCACCATTTTCAGATGTGTTCCAGTGGAGGCCAGCCTGCAACCACAACTATTCAACTCAGGACAATCCCAACAACAACATTCGAGCTTTGCATGCTCGAACCTACCCATCAATCGAAGAGTTCCATAAGCCCAGCTTGCGGTGGTTTTTTTCTGACGAAAATTAGAGTTTTTTTTTGGGCCAATTTCAGGCCTTTCTGAACTTTTATGGGTCCGGCGAGGGTAATTACTATACACCCTCAAATTAAATTAGCTTCTAATCGGAGTCTCTGTTTTCTAGCAAATACCCATTTTCGCAATTCTTTTCTTGATTTTTGCATACCTCTTTCTCAATTGAGTTTTTTTGTTTTGTTTTTTGATCATTTTTTTCGTCAATGTTGATTTTGAAATTCAGTTTGAAGTTCAATTTTTTATGGGGTAATGTTTACTATCCCATTTAATTCTATATTTTTTGGTGGATTTTTTATGACTAAATTTTTTATCTTTTCGTTTTGCAGTAGGCATTGAAGTTGGGTGGATGAAATCCCTTTTCCTCCTCAGATCAAAACACCAAGCCTCTATCTCTTCTAGGTCAAGGTAAAGCCATCATCTTTCACATGCTAATTAATTGCATATCTGGGGTTAATTAGCAATGTAAATTGAAAATTTATTTATGGGTAAATTGGGGTTATCACAGGAATTACCGACTTTTTCTTCAAATAGTTCACAACACATGGGGTTTACTTGGACCCTGAAATTGTGTCACATCTTCAAGAATGGAAGACCTAATAGGCAAATGAACCTGCAGAAGATGATGACTTCTTTGATGCTCTTATTTCTGGTAAAGTTTCTATCTATATCTATCATATTTCATTTGGTTAATAGCCTAATACCAATTTGATAAACATGTGTCAGGCCAAATGGTCAAGGTATTAGTTCATTGATCAAATTATGCGTTGCATGTAGCCCCCTGTTGAGAAATTCATTAGGGTTGTGGTGATCAAGGAGATCAAAGGGTCATAATATGGAGTGCAGATTGAGAGTGCTGTGAAGGATATATTGGCAGCTGCTGACAAATATGAGGAAGAGGAGGAGGAGTCCTTGGAAAAAGTTGTTGAGTTCTTTCAATCAAAGTGCTTCAAGAAGGATTTCATCTATCACATTCCATTTTCCTGCCATTTTTGCCGCTGCCGAGGTAAAGAATCATCTTAATCAAAGGGTAGAAAGTAAAAAGTAACAATATTGTTGAACAACGTAAAGTCCACATAGAAAACTTGACAAAATAATGTATGATATATAAGTGTGCGATGGGTGGTTCCACCACTGAGACATTTTGTGATGAAATCTCACATGTGTTATGCTAATAGGTTGTTAAACTTAACTGCACATTGAAAGAGATATCAGTGTTGATTAGTAATTAGTTGCTGACCTAACTCTGATATCTTTTACAAACATTGTTACTAGCTATTGTGTAATTTGTAAGTAAACTTTTGTGTTTATGCAGATTGTGTTTACACATATGTTCAAAATCATTTACAACTCCATTTACACATATATGTACAACCATCATTAAAATTCTATATCATATGTATACTAATCAGCATTCCCAAGACCCATCAATAGGGAAAGCATTGGGGTCATATATAGGGCAAATTGTGACAATTTGAGCTTATACTTGGTCTTGGACAATTCAGAATTGTTTGTGTTTTGAAATTAAAACTTATAATTAAAAGATTGTTATGTTGTCATTGTACATGGTTATTAATACCAAATGATATAACCAATCAACGTGGTTAGATTTTGTTTCGATTTTGATAATTACCCATATGAAATTTTGTTTTATTTAATTTAATCTGTAATTTTTGTAAAGTATGCAGACGAGTTCAAAGTCAAGAGGGGTAAGCATAGATCAAGCTTATGTATCTCAATCTGATTGTTTGTAGATTTCATACATTTTTTTAATAAGACTATCTATCAAATCTTTTGTATGTAATACACATCAAGTATTAACCTTTGTATGTAAATAGCATGTAATACATATCAAGTATTATCCTTTGTATGTAATACACATCAAGTATTAACCTTTGTATGTAAATAGCATGTAATACATATCAAGTATTATCTTTTGTATGTAATACACATCAAGTATGGTTTTTTATCCCGCGGCATCACGCGGGGCATTCGTGACTAGTGCATTCTAATTTCTATCCAAGTTTTTTGAAGTTTTTGAATTCGAAAATTTTCTAGTTTAGATCACAAATTTTTCATGCCGAAATCTGAAATTTCAATCCAACTTGCATACTTAACTACAAACAGTGGCGAAGCCAGGATTTCTCGGGGGGAGGGGCGAATTTAAAACAGTGCAAGGTTAAAAAAAAAGCAACAACTAAATCTTTGTATATAATAATGTCTTCCATAATTAATCAATAAAAACAAATTACAATTGTTGTCGACGAGGTTTCATGTCATGAAAACGTCGCATAATAGGCTCATTATCAATAAAAGCAAATACATCTCTCTCAATGTAAACAACCATGCTATCACTCAACCATTGATCTCCCATTTTATTACGCAATGGTGTTTTCACAATCTTCATAGCAGAAAAAGCTCTCTCCACCGAAGCGGTTGCAACCGGTAACACCAAAGCCAATGTAAGAAGCTTATACACTAACATATAGCTTTCACACCTCCTAGTCTTCACTAACTCTTTTGCAAGATCACTGATTCCTCTCAATGATGAAAACTCACTATGCATCTTCATATCTTGAATGTAATTGTCAAGTTGAATTGGAAGATTCATGAGGTCCATACGATCAAAATCTTGAGGATAAAGTTGGGCTAAACGAACAATTTTTTCTTTGTCAAAAGATGCAAAATTATTCACTGGACTCAAACATGCCATACAAAGAAGCAACTCGGTGTTTACCTCATTGAAGCGATCATTCAATTCCTTTAGTTGCATATCAAGGACTTGAAAATAGAGGTCTACACGATAGTAATGGAAGTTTGTGATTTTTGGAGCTTTACGCCTTGATTTTCCAGGTACGAAATGCAAATCCTCCATGTTAGGAATGACAATATCATGCTCCTCACAAAACTTTTCTACATCATGCAACAAGTCCCCAAAGTCATCATCTCTCAAGGATTGTAGTCTTTGCTTGCATACTTCCACTAACCCCATCGCATTCACAATATCTTGATCTTTCTTTTGCAATGCTTGTGATAACTCATTTGTAATTCCCAATATAAGTCTCATCAAGAAAAGGTGAAACACAAAATCAAAAGTTTGTATGTCTTTGAATAACCCAGTAGCTTCACCGAGATTATCTTGGTTGCGATCACTTTTAATCCATTCAACCACCTCCACCACGGCTTCAAACATAACAATAATACTAACTATAGTACCATAATGCGAGTTCCACCGTGTATCACATGGACGCATGAGGCTACTTTCTTGATTTAACCCTTTACCCGTTTCAAGATTACCAAGATGAAGAGCTTTTTGAATTTGTTCTTGTTGTTTCTCTCTCAATGCATCACGACGCTTGCATGAAGATCCAATAAGATTCACCAATCTATTAGCATTGATGAAGAAATTGGCAACATCCTCATTTTCCTTTGCCACAAATACAAGAGCTAGTTGGAGTTGGTGTGCAAAACAATGAATATAAAATGCTTGAGGGTATTTGTTCAAAATCTTTGTTTTAAGACCATTTAACTCACCTCTCATATTACTAGCTCCATCATAGCCTTGTCCTCGTAACTTGGACATACTCAAATTTGTTGTAGCAAACAATCTCTCAATAGCCTCTTCAAGTGAGCTACTAGTTGTAGAGGAGACATGTTGAACACCCAAAAACTTTTCAATTGCTTCTCCTTTTTTGTTCACATAACGCAATACCACCGCCATTTGCTCTTTATTGGAAGCATCACGTGATCCATCAACCAAAAGAGAAAAAAATGTACCTTCCATATCTTTAGTGATTGCATTAATAGTTTCAATAGCACAAGCACGAACAAGATCCTTTTGAATATCGGAAGAAGTATACTTGAGATTCTTGGGAGCATTCTCAAACACAACCTTTCTAACTTTCTCATTATGATCGGCAAGAAATTGCATAAGCTCTATATAATTACCCCTATTGCTCGATTTCAAAGATTCATCGTGCCCACGAAAAGCCAAACCTTGTCGCAACAACCATCTTGTGCAATCAAGTGCTCCACTCAATAAAGTATGATAATTAACGCGAGCTTCATCAGTTTGCTTGATCACAAATGTTTCAATGTGTTGTTTTGTGTCATCAAGTCTTTAGCTTGTTGCATAGCTTTATTGTGAAGACTTCCAACACCTCCCTCGTGGACTCGAAAATTTTCGGGTCCTTTCCTCCAATTTGTAAACCCTTTTGTAGTGAAGACATCACTTCCACTACCACCCGCTTTATCAAAATCACATTTAAAAAGATAGCAATAACGGCAAAATGCAGCATCTTTTACTATACTATACTCCAACCACTTAAAATTATCAAACCAACCTATAATAAAACATCGATTGTCGCTAGCTTTCCTTGGCATGATGTGAGACTTAGGTTGACAAGGTTCCTTTTGAAGGTAGTATCTACGAATTGCTTCACGACAATTGAGTGGATAATCAAGCATTCGACGTCTCAGTCCAGGGTCTGCCGGAAGATTAGCTAATATTTCATCCAACTCAGTAATCTCACTTTGTTGTGCACTACTCGGAATACTAGAAGGAGGAGGAGGACTACCCGGAATATTTGAAGGAAGAGGAGGACTATCCGGAATATTTGGAGAAGGATTTAAGCACTGTTTCTTATAATATCGTTCCATTACGTAACTGTATAACGAAAGAAAAAAAAATATATCTTAGACTCTTAGTCCTAGAGTAGACTACAAATTTAATTAATCAGTACCAACAATCATATCATATGAATAATCAATTTTTATTCTACAGTAGAGTATGTAGACTACGAATGTAATTAATAAGTACCAACAATGCATTTGAATGAGGGTTTTAGTTAGTTGAATTGGGGTTCATTATGTTAATGTAAATATAATATATCAGTCCTCTTTTTATGTACTTCAAAAAAAAAATCAATAATCATAGTATTCATATGAATAATCTATAATCAATAATCATATAATGTATAACCCTATAATCCTACATCAATTAAACAAAAATTTATATTCAATAATCAATTAGGGTTTGAAATAAATTTAATTTTTTACCTTAATTGGAATTTGGAATGGCTGTGCAGATGTGCTTGCAGTTGCAGTCTTGCAGACTGATGTGTCTGCCAATTGGAAAGTGAAATTTGCTACAGGCAGAAGGTTTTGTCGTGTGGGGTGGGGAAAAGGGGGGAAAAGGTGGGGTGGGGGACTGACGGGATGGGATATGGGGAATAGGGTTAAGGGGTTTTTAATTTGAAATAGAATTGAGATGGGGATGGATGGGGACCAGTGGTCCCCCGTTTATATATATATTTTTTTTTCATTCAATCAAAACGACGTCGTTTACCAAAAAAATTTAATTTTTTTTTACCAGGCCCAAAACGACGTCGTTTTGGCCTGGATTTTAAAATTTTAAAAAAATCCCTCCCGGTCGTCTTCCCCGAGAGCAATCTGTTTCTGGTTTCAGAAATGGTGCTCCCCAGTTTCCGGCCGAACTAGGGGGGTTCAAGCGTCGCTCCTGCCTTTGTTTTCTGGCGAGCGGAGGGGCGAACGCCCCCCTTCGCTCCTACGTAGCTTCGTCTCTGACTACAAAACTATTAGATATAACTCTGATGGTGATATGGAAGTGGTTAATTAAGACCATTTCTCTTCAACTCACTGCATCAAATGGTCAAACCTTCTCTCCTTGTAATTAGATGAATTTAGTTTAAAGACTAATGCTAGGTAGACAAATTTTTTTAACCAAATTTGCAAATCATATGATGTGTCACCGATAGAAAATAAGCGCGTTAATCAACACTTAAATAATAATTCAATCATCAACAACCTTATCATATATTTTACAAATTTTAGTCTAAATAGTTGATCTTCCTAATAGTTTCGAGTAAATCTTATGGTTTGTATTAATAAAAAGAAAAAGAAAAAGGGGATTTGCATGAGTACCACATGAACTTACAAGTATGTAAGCCAATATCACTTGAATTTTCAATTTTTTTTTTACCACTTAAATTCTTTTAATTGTTGAAATCTACCACCTATGTTACTTTTCATCAACTTTTCCGTTAAAACATGTCACACACCCCTCACGTGGAGGGATATTTTTGTCAACTCACTTCCTATGGCTCACTAGAATCAACTTGTACAAAGACAAAATACATTATTTTTAGCAGCGTTAGAGTCAAGTCATGAAGAGAAAGGGAGAAGTTGATTTCGAGTCTGATTTTGTCAAGGGTTGTTGAAGAATTGAAGTGAAAATTGATTGCTGGGATCCATATCTACATTAAGTGATAGAGATGGAGGATAGTGAGTTCAAATTTGCGTAGAAATTTGTGCTTGTTTTTAACCTTTAAGAAATGACAAATATCATGCGTAGAAATTATGCAAAAATCTAGTCTTTCATTTACAATGAGTTTTAAAGATTTTTTTGGTAGGTTAGCAAGTAGGTGTGTTGTTCATATTAATTTATTAAAATATTAATTTTTCAAATGCTTATGGAGAGACTTACCGAACTGGAACTGTACAAAACCCCAATTTTGGCGCCATATTGACTTAGGAAGTATTACTTTGGAGCCAATTGGATTATGGTCAACCCCATGAAGTTAATTGTTGAAAATATCTCTACATGTGACATGTTTTAACGGCAAAATGGATAGAAAGTTATGTAAGTTATAAATTCCATTAATTAGGGCTAGTTTGGGGTTGTAGTAGGGATGGGTTAAAAAAACTGAAGGAAAAAAAAAAACCAAACATAAAAGAAAAAATTGAACCGAACCCAACTTAATTGATCTGGTTTCGATTTTAGAGGTTTGGAAACCGAACCAAACCAAACTGAACCAAATCCTTTCACACTTAATTACACACGACATTATTTGAAATCCAGAGAGTCTAGATAAAAAAAACACAGACACCTACATTTGTTTCTTTTTTTTTTTCCCTTTTTTTTATGAACCTTAGTTCATTTGTTTTTTTAGTCTGACTTAGTCATTGTTTTTGTTTTTTATGTGAAACTTCTGTTACAGGGACTTGTAGTTGGTAACTTCATTTGGAAAAAAAGCCATGAAGGGTTTAAGACTTGTAGTTATAGTTGCAAGTCAGTTTATTGAGATGGATTATTAGATTATTAGTACACCAATGTAAGCCTCCTGTTTAAATATATGATATTGTATATGTACAATTATCTTCTCACTTTTTCAGTTTTCTTATTATTAGTCTACCAATGCAAGCCTTTTTCTAAAATTCATATTAAAAAAAAAAGGTTTTATAAAATAAAAATAACTAGAACCGAACTAAACATAACCAAACCGAATAAAACCGGAAGAAAATCATACCAAACTAAACCAAACCGAAATTTTGGTTTGGTTTCCGTTTTGGTAGAAAATCGAACCAAATGAAATCGAACTGACCCCTAGGTTGTAGTGCTTTAAAAAAACAACTTATTAAAGATCTAGAATATTAAATGTGTTATTCACTTTGACAATTATTATATCACACTAAAATATCATATTCTTTTCAGTCATTTAACATATTCACAACAATTTTATATAAAAAAATTATCAAATACTTATACACTGTTTTTCTTGTTAAAAGCACTTTTACAAAAAATAAAAAAAATACCAAACACAACAACTTTATTTTACTACTATTTATTCTTATAACACAACAGAAGCAATTTTTTAAATAGTACAATAATACCAAACTAGCTCTTAAGATAAATAAAAAAAGGCTTATTAGTCGAAATGCCCCCTGAAACTGCCATTGAGTCTCAATTTACTCCATGAAACCGGTTTTGTCTCACTTTGCCTCCTGAAACTGATATTTTCAACCTTTTGTCTCACTTTACCCACTTTTGTTAATGGATTGTTAAATTTAAGGGTATTTTGGACATTTCAGTTTTTATACATTTATTTACCTCTAACCACACACTAAACAAGTCTCAGTTTTATTTTTGACAATTCTAATTCAAACGCATAAATTTTGGGCATTTTTAAAACAAATTATTCAATCAATAGAAAAATTCCAAGCAACAAAATCATTGTATCAACCAAAACTTACATTTGTTCGTAGAGTCGTTTCACTTGCAAGACATCCATGTATTGGCTCAAAACTTTGCAATCGAAAAATATGGATAATTTTGAGAATATTTTATTCTTACCGAATAGGTCCAGAACCTTATTTAAATTGTTTAAGTTCTTGTCATGTAATAAAAAAAAATTGAATTTGGTCAAGTGAATAAATGGGTAGAGCCCTACTACGGTTCCAATGATAGGGAAACAAAAAGGTAGTTCATCTTCCATTCCAAAAAATTGTTTTAAAAAAAACAAAAATCATCTTTTTGACCTTGCTTTTCATTGGATCGTTATAAGGGGCTCGTAGCTTAGATTTGTGCCAAGGTTTAAGACAAAAGGGAAATAGGATCTTGATCTGAATGCCGTCTGTTAACCAGTTTTTTGGAAATTCCTTTTCTGATAATTGAACACCGTTATAGGTACATTTAACATGCATTTCTTTATTTCAATCATTTACAACAAAATCATTATACCATTCAGCTATCATATCCAAAAGATTTCCCAAACCAAAAAAATATTGGGTTCTTTAGATATAGACCCTTGCAACTCTTATTCCCTAGATAAAAACCCATTTAATTCTAAACATCCAAATAAAACCCAATTATAATGAACAAATAATTATTGCACATACTATTACCCCTAAAGTAGTACTATATACTTTTGACGTATGTGTGTCTATATATATATATATAGTACTTGACACACCCCGTCCCGAAGGAGGGCATGCTGGCCGTCACGTGAGAGTGACGTAACCATTTGCACAGTACGGAAGCTTTAAGATACAATTTATAAGTTGATACACCCGAAGGTGCGTCCTAATTTGGTCCATTCTGTCAGAACACCGTCGAATTCCTCGTAGTCACCACACCTTTGTGATTCCTGAACCTGGAGGGGCGCAAAACCAAAATTGAGTGGGTCAGTAAAACAATTCTTTTTCCAAATCCAAACATTTCTCAAAACGTTGTAACCCCTCTCCGTAAAACCTGTATACTTTCCCAGAAATGTAAAATATAAATATACATATATATTCTCAAGACTTCAAGTCGTTAACTCAACATTTTCATAACAATTATGCCATGCCACATCATCTCAACATTTCTCATATTAATTATGCCATGCCACATCATCTCAACAGTAATAAGGTATGAATGCATCAACATAATCATATCAGGTGCAAGAAAGTAATCAACCGTAGGCCCTCTAATAGCCCTGTACGGTTGAACCTAGAGCTCAAAATCTATCATTATCACTCTACCGGAGTCACCTCTGTGACCCGTCCGGCCTTCTGCACGCAAGTTACGCTCTAGTGCTTCTCATAAATCATCTGTGCACATAATCTAAGGTCACCCACCAGTCGGAATCTCACTAACACTCTCGCGACTGGTCTGTCGTACCCACTCCGCGTGGACTGTACGACTAGCATCTACTTGGATCCAAGGCGAGCGTGCGATGCGGTGAATACTATAAGCACTAAACCATGGTGCAGGATTTGAGCTCAATATATATATCATCATCATCATAACAGTAATTAAATACTCATCTGTGCGTCCACCGCACCATTTCATACATATGCATCATAAATCAATTCTTACC